CTTAAAAAAAAAAACAAAAACTAGTCTAGTTTAGATTAAAGGAGCTCTGGTAGTGGTAGTGTAGTGGCTACAAGTCAGACTGCTAACCTCAAGGTTAGTAGTTCGAAACTACCAGCCATTCCTGGGAGAGAGATGAGGCTTTCTGTTCCTGTAAAGATTTGCAGCCTCAGGAACCCTATGCAGGATCACTATGAGTCAGGTCTGACTGCACAGCACACCACCAGTTTAGATTAACCTAATTTTATCTGCAGGGAGTACTGTTGACACAACCGTTAAATGCTTGGCTGCTAACCAAAAAGTTGGTGATTGAACCCACCAGCAGCTGCAAGAGAAAAAAGACTAGGTGACCTGCTCTAGTAAAGAACTGGTGTTGTTAAGTGCCATCAAATTGGTTCCGACTCATAGCCCAAGAAATCCCATGGGGGCAGTTCTATTATATAAGGTTGATAGGAGTCAGAACTGACTCCATAGCACACAATAATTTAATCTGCTTCAGAGATGATGACACCTGAGATGTCTATTAACTATGTCATCAATACTTGCTAGAATCTTCTCACATCAGTAATAAATGGATTAGTTTACAGGGTTTAGAAGAAGCAGGCCTATATTTTACAGGATTTATCTTTATTTCCAGAAGCCCTAGTAGCGTAGTGGATTACGAGCTGGGTTACAGTTCAGTCTACCAGTGGCTCCCATAAAGATTTACAATCTTGGAAACCTGATACAGGGGCACTATGAATATGAACCGACTCGACAGCAGACAACTAGCACCACCACCATCTTTATTTCCTTCTAAACTGAGTTTCTTTTACTTTTACTTTTCCAAATTAACGTTTTCATACATGAAAACATGATCATGTAAACAGGGATCCAAATCAAGTACAATGATTTCAAAGATAATTATAATAATAGTTTACTACACACACATTCACAATAAACCAAAACCTGCTCATTCAGCTGATTCCCACTTAAAGAATGGACTGCACTCAGTAGGGTTCTCAGTGGCTGTGAGCTTTCCGTAGATCACCAGGCTGTTCTTCTGAAGCACCTCTGGAAGGGTTCAAACCATCAACCTTTGGGTTACTAGCCCTGCACTTAACTGTTAGTGCCACCCAGGGATTTCTCACACACATGGGAAGAAAGTATATACCCAATGGCATCATTGATGGCGTCAAGTGTGGCGGCAGTAGTGAGGTTGGCCCAGGATCCCACATTGTTTCGTTCTATTGTGCATGGGGTCGCTATAAGTCGGTTCCGACTCGATGGCACCTGACAACAACAACAATGGTGTTGTGAGTTGCTGTGATTCTGAAAGCTATACCGCCGATATTTTAAATACCAGCAGGGTCACCCATGGTGGACAGGTTTCAGATGAGTTTCCATAAAAAGACAGACTAGGAAGAAAGAGTGACGAACTGCTTCCAAATATTTAGTCACTGAAAACCGTATGAATTATCAGAGAAACACTGTCATATATAGTGCCGGAAAAAGAGCCCCTCAAGTTGGAAGGCACTCAAAATGTGACTGGGGAAGAGCTGCCTCCTCAAAGTAGAGTTGACTGTGATAAACGCGAATGGAGTAAAGCGTGTGGGGGAAAAGCCCATGGGACCTTCATTTGCTGAAGGGGCACAACTCAAAATGAAAAGAAACAGCTGTAAACATCCATTAAAATTGGAACATGGAATGTACGAAGTATGAATCTAGGAAAATTGGAAGTTGTCAAAAATGAAATGGAACACATAAACATCGATATCTTAGACATTAGTGAGCTGAAATGGACTGGTATTGGCCATTATGAATCTGACAACCACATGGCTTACTATGCAGGGAATGACAAATTGAAGAGGAATGGTGCTCCATTCATTGTCAAAAAGAACATACCCAGATCAGTCATGAGGTACAACGCTATCTGTGATAGGATAATATCCATGCGCCTACAGGGAAGCCCAGTTAATACCACTATTATTGTGTGGCTCATGATAAATACTATGGACAACATTGCAAAGTATGAGTATTCCAGAACACTTCACTGTGCTCATGAGCAATCTGTACTTGGACCACGAGGCAGCTGTTCGAACAGAACATGGGAACACTGAATGTTTAAAATTAAGAAAGGTGTGCAACAAGGTTGTATTCTTTCACCATACTTATTCAACCTGTATGCTGAGCAAATCATCTGAGAAGCTAGGTTCTATGAAGAAAAATGTGGCATCAGGATTGGAAGACAACTCATTAACAACCTGCAATATGCAGATGATACAACCTTGCTTGCTGAAAGTGAAGAGGACTTAAAACATTTATTGATAAAGATCAAAGAGCACAGCCTTCAGTATGGATTACATCTCAATGTAAAGAAAACAAAAATCCTCACCACTGGACCAATAAACAACATTCTTATCAACAGAGAAAAGATTGAAGTTGTCAAGGACTTCATTCTTCTTGGATCAACTAGCAACCACTCAAGGAAGCAGCAGTCAAAAAATCAAAGGATGTATTGCATTAGGCAAATCTGCTGCATAAGACCTTTTTTAAGTGTTGAAGAGCAAAGATGTCAGCTTAAGGACTAAGGTGCGCCTGACCCAAGCCATGGTATTTTCAATAACCTCATATGCATGCGAAAGCTGGACAGTGAGTAAGGAAGACTGTAGAAGAATTGATGCCTTTGAGTTATGGTGTTGGAGAAGAATATTGAAAGTGCCATGGGCTGCCAAAAGAACCAACAGATCCATTTTGGAAGAAGTACAGCCAGAGTGCTCCTTAAAAGCTAAGATGCCCAAACTTCATCTGTGATACGTTGGACATATTGTCAGGAGGGACCAGTCACTGGAGGATATCATGTTTGGTAAGGTGGAGGGTCAGAGAAAAAGAGCAAGATCCCCAACGAGATGGATTGGCCAAGTAGCAGCATCGATGGACTCAAGGGTGGCAACAGCAGTGAGGTTGGCCCAGGATCATGCAGTGTTTTGTTCTGCTGTGCATAAGGTCGCTATGGGTCGGTACCGATGGTGTTGTTAAGTGCCATTGAGTCAGTTTCAATGCATAGTGACTCTGTACAGGGTTTCTAAAGAGCAACTGGTGGGTTTGAACTGCTAACCTTGAGGTTCACAGTCCAGTGGTGATCCTACAGAGTCACACCAGGAGTCAATATGTATCTTAATTATGATTATCTTAAAATCATATGTAATGAGAATATGTATATGTAATCATACGTAATGAAAAAGTATATGTAATGAGAATATTTTAGAATATCTTTACTGAATTGGGTATCTTTTATTAGGATGAACTGAATTCTGAGCATAATCTGGATATAGTAGTTATGCAGATAACTTTGGAATGCTATAATATATAGTAGAGACCCACTTCAATTAAAGTCTGATTCATTCTTCACACAACAGACAAAATGATTCTTTTATAGCATTATTCATATCATATCACTGTCCTTTAATGCTTCCACCTAAACTCAGATTAAATGTCAACTTCCAATGATACCTTGCAATATTCTGGGTGATTTGTTTTATTGTGAAGTCTAAATAAAGGTGCCACAGTAGTTGCTGCTGTTGTTAAGTGCCATCAAGTTGGTTCCGACCCATTGTGACCCTGTATAGGGTTGCCAAGAAATGGCTGGTGAGCTTGAACCGCCGACCTTGCAGTTCAAACTGACCCTGCAGTCCAACACATTAACCCATAGTGCCACACCAGGACTTCATTACAGTAGTTAGAAGAGAACAATTCTCAAGTTTGAGTGTGTATCAGAATCACCTGGAAGGTTTGTTAAAACACACTGCTAGACTCCATATTCTGAGAGAGTTGGTATAGGGTGAGACCTGAGAGTTTGCATTTCTAATAAATTCTCAGGTGATACTGGCATTGCTCACCCAGGGCCACTCTTTGAGAACCACTGCTTTAGCCTAATCGAATAACATTTCCTGCTTTTCCCTACTTTCCTATTTCAGCAATTCAGTGGAAATAAAACGGTGCTCTTTTTGCTGGACTGATACTGGCTGGACCAGCAAAAAACAATCAGGAAATTCCTTGAGAACAGAATCTGATCCTGAGATTCTCAGTGTCTATTACAATGGTTTGCCCATATTAGTTGCTCAAAACTGTTTGATGAATAAATGGACAAAAGAACAAATGAAGAATTTCTTAAAAATTCAAGCCCTGATGAACCCTGTCTCTTTCTCCTACTTCAAATGATAAATTCCTGTTTTGTTCATCTTAGTAATTTTACAGAGTCCAGTCTCTTCATCCCCAAGTTCTGCACAAGGTAAGTTCTCAATATATATTTGTTGGATTCAACTCTTAGCAGTATTCCCTTTACTAGAATACAAAGATGCCACAACAGATCCCTTGCTACAAAATGACCTTGATACCATAAGATCTTAGTTTCCTTTAACAAAGAATTAATTCTAATTAACCTGATAATGTGTAGTTCTGGTTTGACACTGTAGGATAAGCACTGGACTGCTAACCACAGTTGGCAGTTCAAACTCACCAATCACTGCTCAGAGGGGTTGCTATGAGTCAGAACTGATTTGACGGCACTTAACAACAAAAACCTGATAATGTAGAAACTACTTCAAGTTAACCTAGGAAAGCAGCCTAGAAATTGGGAGACATTATTAAAAACGAATGGTTTCACACCTTATAATATGGATGCACCTGGAGGACATCATGCTGAGTGAAATCAGTCAATCACAAAAGGACAAATATTGTATGAGAACAATGTTGTAAAAAGTTAAGAAAAACGTTTTCTCAGTAAAATAAACAATCTATGATGGTTATGGGCTGGTGGTGGTGGTTGTGTGCCATGGAGTCGGTTTCAACTCATAGAGACCCTGTATATGGTTTCCGAGGCTGTAAATCTTAATGGGAGTAGAGAGCCTCATCTTTCTCCCAAGGAACAGCTGGTAGTTATGAACTGCTAACCTTGAGGTTAGCAGCCTGACTTGTAACCACTACGCTACCAGAGCTCCTTGGTTATGGGGCTAGAAGAAGGGAAAATTATTCACAAGCTAGAGGGTTCACACATGCTAACCTGGGTAACAGGGTTGGCAACATAAAACAGGAGGGAGGTTAGCAGAGGAAAGATGAAGGTAGCGTGGGACACAGGGAGGAATGCAATGATTAAAGTGAATACAGGTAAATACTACAGTTGTTACATGGAGGAAATTGCAATCATTGTAAAAAAGCAAAGTACATGATTTGTTAAATGTAAAATGGATGATTTGTTCCGTAAACCTTCACTCAGTTCACAATAAAAAGTTTAAGAAAAAAAATTAATGGTTTGAAACACTGAATATGGAAAAGAATTTTCCTAATTTCCAAAGCAAACTTAAAATGCAGCATTTTGAACCTAAAGATTCATACGCAAAAGCAGAAGAATGAATTTAAAAAAAAAAAAGTGTGTTTAAAAGAGTTTCTAGAATGTTACCTAATAAATGGTACCCTTAAGTCATTCATAGAATGAAGAGGTGCATATGCTCCTTGCTCATCCCACCACTTGTGAGCCAACATCTGGAAGGTTTTTATTTCATTGTCGTCTATTGTGGTTTGTGAAGTACTGTACGGTCTTGTCCCAGGGTACCTAAGGGGACAAATGAAGATCCAGAAAATATTGTTGTAAAGTGCCATCAAGTTGGTTCCAACCCATAGCAACCCTGTACCGGGTTTCCGAGGCTGTAAATCTTTACGGGAGCAGAAAGTCTCATCTTTCTCCCATGGAACTGCTGGTAATTTTGAATTGCTGACCTGGTGTTCTTAAAAATGTAATACTGGATACACTATGTATAAAGATATTCTTACTTATAATTTTTTAGATTCTAAATATATATTTAAGCACTGGTGGCACTATAGGATAAGCACTGGACTGCTGCTAACCATAAGGTCAGTGGTTCAAGTCCATCAACTTCTCTGAGGGAGAAAATTGAGGCTTTTTGCTCAAGATTTGTTGTTGTTGCTGCGTGCCATCAAGTCAGTTCCGACTCATACAGACCCTATATATATAATAGGGTTTCCAAGGAGTGGCTGGTAAATTTGAACTGCCGACCTTGAGGTTCAGACCGAACCTGCATAACTCAAAAATGCTATACAGAGTCACTGTGAATTGGAACTGAGTTGACAGCTGTCAAACACATTTCTTTGAATGTGTGTGGCTCTCCACAGTACTGGTAATCATCCAATCTTCTGCATCAGGGTCCTGAAAGGGCTCACTATCCCTCTTCCAAATCTCCCACTGCAGGGCTTAAACCCATAATTTTTCGTATACTAGTTATTATTCCTGGTGTAGCACTGTGGGTTAATGCACCAGACTGCAAAGCTGTTTGAACTGCAAGGTTGGCGGTTCAAGCTCACCAGCTGCTCCTTGAAAACCCTATACAGGGTCGCTGTGGGTTGGAACCAACTAGACGGCACTTAACAACAATAACAACAACAGTTATCATTCCAAAATCCTGGTGGTGTGCTGTAGGATAAGTACTAGACTGCTAACTACAAGGCTGGTGGTTCAAACCCACCTATACAAAGTCACTCTGAGTTGGAATTGATTTGAATGCACTCGACTGCAAAGTCGGTTTGAATCTCAAGGTCGGCAGTTCAAGCTCACCAGCCGCTCCTCAGAAACCCTATACAGGGTCACTGTGAGTTGGAACCAACTTGATGGCACGTAACAACAACAAAAACATTTATTATTCCAGGCACTCACATTTTGCAAATTCTGATCTTTTTCAGTTTCACCTCAGCAGCCATGACTGAGCTGGTTCAAACCAGTTTGAAACTCTACTCTAAACTCATCTCCCACTATTCATCTGCCCACTTCAGTTATGCAGGCCTTCCTTCAGCTCTTTGAAATGGCCATGCTGGCTCCTTCCTCAGACACTTTGCAAATGTTCCTTCATTTATCCCCATGCCTTCCACAAACACCTTACTAATTTTTTCTCATCTTCAGATCCTAACTTAAATGGAATATTATCTAAGAAGTCTCCCTCATACACTAACTGGATCGTGTTTCCCTATTTTAACGTGTGTGCCACTTTGTACTTCTTCATGGGGCTATGTGATTATTTGGTCCTGTCTGCCTCTCCTCTAGACCATAAGCACTATGAGAGCAAGTAGAATTCTCTCACTCACCATTTTATTCCTACTGACTAGCATAGTTCTTGGAATGTAGTTTATACTAAGAAAACATTGGTCAAATGAGTAATATCAAGGAGATGATTCAGAAAAGCATATACTTCTCCTAAAAAAAAAATTGAAATTAAACGGGATCCAACAGGAACTAAAAAGAGCTCTGGTAGCATAGTGGTTATGAGTCGGGCTATTAAACTGAAGGTCAGCAGTTCAAAACTACCAGCTGTTCCGCAGGAGAAAGATGAGGCTTTCTGCTCCTGTAAAGATTTACAGCCCTGGAAACCCTGTACAGGGTCACTATGAGTCAGAACTGACTCCACAGCACACCACCACCAACAACAACAACAACAGGTTCTAAACAGGGACCAGCTAGTTCCTACACCAAGTTCCACTGTATAATACATTATGGAAAACCCTCCAAAGGTCTGCTTGGGTAAAAGAAAAGGTTGGTAAGTTAGAAAAGGTAATGTCATTCAAATTTTTACTGTTTTTCTTTGCTACATGTTGTTGTTGTTGTAAAGTGCCATCGAGTCAGTTCCAACCCTTAGCGTCCCTGTATAGGGTTTCCAAGGAGCGGCTGGTGAGCTTGAACCTTGGAGTTCAAACAGCTTTGCAGTCTGGTGCATTAACCCACAGCACCACACCAGGACTCCCTCTTTGCTACATATGTAGTATATATTCTATATTCATTACTTTTGGTCATTTTTAAGAGTGAAATATTACTTTTCTATAACAAAACATTTTCCATAAACTCTTCTTTAATTGTCATGTATCTTATGAATATTATCTTTCTTTTTCATGTTTAGTGCAAAGTTCAGTTATCAAAGATTAATTTACAATAGAAAACCATTCCTCATTTGACTATGAATAATGTCACACATGTATAATCTCAAAGGCGCTAGTTTAAGAGAAAAGTAGGAGCATGCACTTGGAAAACATCTCAAGTCTCAACACTAAGAAATATTTTTCACAAGGGCATAATTTAGTCTTGTTGTTGTTGTTGTTAAGTGCCATCGAGTCGGTTCCGACCCATAGCGACCCTGTACAGGGTTTCCGAGGGTGTAAATCTTTACGGGAGTAGAAAGCCTCATCTTTCTCCCGCGGAGCGGCTGGTAGTTTCGAACCGCTGACCTTAAGGCTCGCAGCCCGATTCGTAACCACTACGCTACCAGAGCTCCTTATAATTTAGTCTATAAACTATGAATATAAAAAGATATTATTTGGGTTCATTGTTACTACTGAGAATGAACACTTACTCCCTCCCCCTATTAACATTACACTTAACAATTCCTGTATTATTTGGTCCTGTTATAAGGATATTATAAGTAAATAAAAATACTTTTGTAATAATAATTAAAAAAAAAAAGACCTCTGAATTTATATACTTGATGTACATTATATTATTCTATCAACGTCCAGGGGACATTCTTCAAATTTAAAAGTTGTTGAAAATTAAATTAGTTAAAAATATTTAAATAAGCAAAAGCAATCTTAAAGTACATAAGTGGTTATATACTGATGGGGTTTATTAAACACTAAACTACTGTTGCATATATAATTCTATAAATATTTACCACAGTAATAAACATACTCACCTATAACTTTTCATTTTATTCAAATAGGAAAAAGTCATCCTATAAGATCTGAACCCCATGGTTTTGTGTTCATTGGAAACATGTGGTTTAATTTGTAGAGTCCAACTGAGCTGCTTCTCTAGATAAGCTGGGGAAAAAAAATTATATGCACATGTAATTGTAAGTATATGAATCCCTGATATGAACATAATTGAAAAAACTATTTTATATGGTAATTCAATATTATATACTATGAGAGAGCTTCAAAAAGTTTGTGAAAAGTTAAAGATAATTAAATGCTTCCATAAACTTTTTGAAGCTCCCTTGTATGACTGATAAGCAAAAGGGGTTTTCCCTTTTGAATTTTAGTCTGAAAAAAATAAAATTAAGTTTTACATTCTACAATCTCACTCTAACCAGACCGTTTTGAAAATATAATTAGAAAAAATAATCCTTATGTAATTAAAATTCTTTCATTAGTTTTGCAACCATATTGTGTTGTACCATTAAATTCAAAGCATCAAGACCAACTTAGAGGTTTATATCAACTTTTTTGGGGGGGTCCCAAAGGAGTAATTGGACAGCAAACCACAAGGTTGGTAGTTCCAGCCCACCAGCCACTTCACAGGAGAAAAATGAGGCTTCCTGCTCCTGCAGAGATGTACAGCCTTAGAAACCCTATACAGGGTTGCAATAAGACAAAACCAACTGACAGCACTTACTAAAAACTTAACAAAGGGGTATAGTACTGATAGATTTTTCTCACAGAACTTAGGACAATCACTGGGGTTTACTATGAAGAAATTTTAAGAAAATTGAAAACTGCACTAGTGGGAAAAAGGCCAGGAGGAAAGTTGCACTGAAATATTGTTTTCCACCATGACTGTACATTTGCTCCTTCTCTGACAGTAGCAAGGGCTGTCCTAGGAGTATTTTGTTGGAAAACCTTCCCACATCCACTCTACAGCTGTAATTTTGTCCATTCAGACTTCTTTTTGTCCCCCAAACTCAAAAGAATATTGAAAGGAACACAATTTAAGTCCCTGAAGGATGTGAAAATGACAGTTTTGATGTGTGTAAATCAAAGAGCACAGAATTTTGGGGGAGAAGGTTTGATGTTGCTTCATGCCATTGAGTCATTCCTGACTCATAGCAACCCTGTATAGAGTTTCCTAGACTGTAATTCTTTATTTACAGGAGCAGAAAGCCTTATATGTCTCCCACATAGCAACTTGTGGTTAGCAGACCAACACATATGCTGTTAGTGCTTCTTGGGGAATAGTTGCTGTTGAGTTGGTTCCAACTCATGGAGACCCTGCAGAGGACTTCCAAGGAGTGGCTGATAAATTTGATCCGTTAACTCACCTTTTGGTCCAGTGCTTATCCTACAGCACCACACTAGGAAAGGTTAGAGGGATGGAAACACTGCCTTCAGAAGAGTATAAACCTATAAGGAGGGTATGTCAAAAATCAAATAGCTTCAAATTTTGATATTTTTGTTTAATGAAAGTTTCTATTATTTTGGGGCAATACTTTTTTGTTGTTTAATGTTTTATTTTGAATTATGTGATAGTTTACATGGGAGAGCATTAGCTTTACATGCCCTCTACCTCTCTGGGTCTAGAGTCCCCAACCACTCCATCGCTCCACATCTTCGTCTCTGCCTCCATCTCTGGGGGCAATACTTTTTTACTTACTTTTGTATACACACAGATGCATACATACATCCTGGAATTCACACTCACCTAGCCTATATGTGCAAACTAACATAGGAACTTGCTTTATGAACAGGTTACTCTGCTGTAGAACATTAATTTGTTTAATAAACATTCAGATAAAGTAGACTTCAGGACAAAGAAAATTATCAGGGCAAAAAGATGACTGCATCATGATTAAAGGAACAATCCACCAAGAAGATAAAGCAATCCTAAATAAGCATACACTGAACAAAAGAACATCAAAACATATGAGGCAACCAAGGAGGAGATCCAGGCAGCCAACAAATGTATGAAGAAATGTTCACTATCACTAGCCATTGTTGTTGTTGTTGTGAAGTGCCATCGAGTCGGTTCTGACCCATAGCAACCTTGTAGAGGGTTTCCGAGGAGCAGCTGGTGAGCTTGAACTGCTAACCCTGCAGTTCAAACGGCTTTGCAGTCTGGCGCATTAACCCACAGCGCCACACCAGATGCAAATCAAACCAACAATGAGATATTATCTCACACCAGCAACAACAGCAAAGATCAAATAAGTAGAGGACAATAAATGCTGGCGGGGATGTGGAGAGACTGGGATGCTTCTGCATTGCTGGTTGGACTGCCAAATGGTCCAATCTCTCTGGAAAGCAATATGGTGCTTCCTCAGAAGGTTGGAAATAGAAATATCTTATGATCCAGTAATTTCTCTACTTGGTATTTACCCACAAGAAATACGAGCCATAACACGAGTAGATATATGCACACCAATGTTCATAGCAGCACTATTTACAATAGCAAAAAGATGGAGACAGCCAAAGTGCCTATCAACTGAAGAATGGATAAACAAACTGTGATGCATACACACAATGGAATACTATGCTACCTTGAAGAATAGCAAGGAGGCTGCAAGCCATGGATGAACCTTGAGGACATTATGTTGAGTGAAATTAGTCAGTCACAAAAGGAGAAATACTGCATAGGACCACTACTGTAAAAGACTAAGAAAAAGAACCCATACTAAAGGGGGAGGGGGGATTCTTTGCTGGCTACTGGGATGTGGGAGGTAGGGTGAGGGGAGGGAGGGGAAGGTGGGGCACAGGGTAGGGAATAGACACAGGATAGTTTGGGTGCTAGGGAGAGGAGCAATATACAAGAAGGAGGAGGGGAATGGAAGAACAAAGCAGATGGGAGAAAAATTAGGCAGGTTTACATGGGCTAAGTGGGACAGAGGTAAAGAATGATGTATGCACAACCTTGGAACAACAGGGCTCTGGGATACAGGGATTGAGACATGGTTGGAATGGGGAAAAGGGGGAAATACTGTTAAGATGCTTGGCTGTCTTATGAATCTTGGTTTCCCTGACATACCATTATAAAATAGACACTGGAGGGGGAGAGAAAGGAATAGCCAGAAATATCACCATAGAAAGCTTGTAAGTCTGTCTTCTGCCTACAACTGATTGGAATACCTAAAATGTGGCTATGACGTGCCCAGTGAAGGAGTCTTCCTGAGGAGCCTCTGCATTACATAAGACCATAGGTGGAATACTGAACAGCATCCAGAATCTTCAGAGGTGGGAAATTTCCACTTGAAAGGGCAAGCAGACCAGCCTGGAGCAGCTAGAAGAACAGAAGATACTTCTTGAAAGAAAAACCGACAGGAAAAATACAAAACAAAATAGGCAGACCGACTGATAACTACAAGAACAAGCTGCTCACTCAGAAGACATCAAAGCAAGTGGTCAGGTCCCCTCAGAGCAATCCCCCTTCCAAGACTAAGACTCAATGGGAATACAGGCTCTGATTGGTGACCACGTTCATCATCAATAAGGGGAAGTGAGGAAAAAACAGCAATGAATCTGCGAGCTAAGCCCTATAACATTCAATAGACTCCTGTGAACCCTGTTGGAGAGACTCTTGGGCCCAGAGTCAGTGACATAGCCACAGAGGACTAGAGTGGAGAGTGAAGCATCCAGCTGATAAGAAGAGAGGGCATTATGCACAAGAACACCCATACGTGCAGATAATACTCACTTGACCTGGCTTCAATGACTGGATGATCAGAGCTCAACTAGAAGAAAAAAGAGGGAAAAAAAAGAGTAATCTGATACAATTTGATGAACTTGACCTACACCTATGGATGCAGCAGCTCAAAAGAGGGAAAAAATCTTTATAGCGAGGATCATTCCCACCCCCTCCACACACAGAGTAGACAGGGTTGGGCAACTTGGACATTGGCTACTCAAAATGGGGGGCTTCAAAGGCCAAGAAGTGACTGGCTTATAAGCTTTCAAGAAGGAACCTAGATCTAGAGGGTGTTGAGGAAGGTAGAATCTCCACTGAGTAGTATCCAACCTGCCTAGGCAGGGCTGATGAAAGGAAATGTGGATAGGTCTCTTGTGATACAATAGTGTATCATTGTTATCAGGACTGACTGTGTGGGTTGGAAATGTAAAGGCAGACATTTTGTAGCAAGGAGGGGAGCGATTAGCTTTGCAGTCTAGGAACAGAGGTCCCTGGGACCATCAAGGGAGAAGAGCAGTGTGTGGGACCCTACCCAAAGAAGCACTGACACCAGAGATGGAGGCAGAGATGATGACATGGAGAGATGGAGCGGCTAGGGACTTTAGACCCAAAGAGGGAGAGGGGCTGTGTACTGACAATGGGGAGGTGGGGGATGTGGGGAGCAGGGGGAGGGCAGGCTTGCAGTCTGGTTGGTTGACGATGCATGGAGATTATAACCACGGTAATGAAACGATATACGATAGGATGAATGCAAAACTAATGTTCTCCCATGTAAACTATCACATAATTCACAATGAAACATTAAAAAAAAAAAAAAAAGCCTTTTACAGCAGATTTGTACAGTACAATATATTATTTGATTTCCTTTTTGTTATTGTTCAGAATCTTATTTTATTAATGGGGTAAATCACATATACATTTTCTTATTCACACAATTTTTATAAGATTGAAAATTTAGAATTTCTGTTCATGAGTAGAAGCTGTATTTTTCATCAAAAAAATTGTCTCAGAAATATTCTTAACCTAGTAATACAAAGAGTACTTTGAAAATATGTTAAATTGTCAACAAATCCTGTTTATATATGAGAAAAACTGTATATATTTTCTTAGTTACACATATACTGGGAATTTTTCCTTCCTGTTGTATAAACAGTATACTGAAAAGGTCAAAAATTTTAAATGCCCTAATAATGGATAGAACAAACTGCATGTATTTTTTTTTTACAAGATGCATACAAAATTGATACAGCTTTGTCATTCAAAGAGTAAGTTTTAAACTTAAAACTCCTTAGAATTTGTATTCATGGAGTAATTTTTCTTTCTTATCGTCACTTTGTATTGAAGTCTTTCCAGTCTTGTAATACAAATCATACTTTGAAATCATTTTAAATTGCTATTTGATTTTTGTTTGTTACATTCACATACTTGAAGTGAAATAATGCATATTTACTTTCCCACTTTGGGACAATCCATTGGGAATGTTTCAACATTGAAGACATAGAAAAGTTTTTAGACTTCTTGTCCATAATTGGATTAAATTTTATTTACTTAAAAAAAGAAGAAGAGGGAGGGGAATGGAAGAACAAGGTGGATGGGAGAAATAGGCAGGTTTGCATGGACTAAGTGGGACCGAGGTAAATAGTGATGTAAACTCAACCTGGAAACAACAGGGCTCTATGATACAGGGATTGAGGCATGGTTTGAAAGGGTAAAAGAGAGAAAATAATGTTAAGATGCTTGACCATTTTATGAATCTTGGTTTTCCTTGCCTACTACTATAAAATAGACACTTGAGGTGGGGTGAAAGGAATAACTAGAAACATCACTATAGAAAGCTTGTAAACCCATCTTCAGCCTATAACTGATTGGAATATCTAAAATGGGGCTAGAACTTGCCCAAAAAAAGAGGCTTCCTGAGGAGCCTTTGCATTGCATAAGTAGGTGGAATCCTGATCCCCATCCAGAATCCTCTGAGGTAGGAAATTTCTACTTGAAAAGACAAGCAGACCAGCCTGGAGCAGCTAGAGAAACAGAAGATACTTCTTAAAAGAAAGAGCAGCAGGAAAAGTCAAAAACAGTAACAGCAGTGTGACTGACAAGAACAAGCAAGTTGTTCCTTGGGGAGCCATCAAGGCAAACAATCAAGTCCCCTCAGGGCAAACCCTTTTCCAAGACAGAAACTCAAAAGGGAATACATGAGCAGGCATGCCATCTTGCTGGTGACCACATTAGTCTACAGATAAGGGGAAGTGGGGGAAAAACAGCAATGAAGCTGTGAGCTAAGTCCAACCATGTTCAACTTGGATCCCGACCTGGTTAGCCAGCAGTATAGCAAGACCTGGGGATTCCTGAGCACCTGGACAGGGACATAGTCACAGAGGATGCAAGTGGAGAGTGAAGCGTCCAACTGATGAGAAGTGAGGGGAGATACACAAGAATGCCCATATTTGCAGATAGTACCCATTTGACCTAGCTTCAATGGCTGGATGATCAGAACTTGAATAGAGGAAGAAGAGGAAAAAGTAGTGTAATCCACTACAATTTCATGAACTTGACCTATATGTATGGGTGTAGTAACTTAAAAGAGGGAACAAATCTTTACAGCAAGGATCATTCCCACCCCCTCTGCACATAGGGTTGACAGAGATGGGCAACTTAGACATTAGC